CTCGTCACGAGACGAGGGCGATGAGTCTTTCTCATTCTAGTAAGAAGTGACGTGCGCCCTTACATGGGCAGAGCAGCAGGGGATAATCTCACAAGATGGGCTAGAGGAAGGCAGGGGGAAGGGGCAAACCAAACCGATAGATCATCTTTCTCCCACATCCCAGCAAGTCGACACATGAAATCTAATTTTTTGTACGTTTCATTTAATTCATGCAATTGACCTGTCGTTCCTCCTCTTAAGAAAAGTGCCGTATTTGCCAATGGTGGCGCTCATCCGTCTCTGAGGAGATAAATAGTTAATTTCTCAAATGATTGTATGATTAACAATATTTGATTAACCATTGAAAGTAAACATTGGCTTGTTTAATTGTAAATTGATTCTCAAAAAAATTGTATAATCTAATCCTTTTTATGTGTGTCCGTGAACAATTAGGACACCAGAATTGTGTAAAATCACTTCACTATAGATATGAGTACCAGGATATTATAAAGTACTGAATATGTCCTTTAATACAACTCACAATAATTTATATAGCACATAAAAACTTGTTATTTTGCTTTAAATGGGCTTTCAGCTTTTTCAGTGGTTCTGTGTCAACTATTCTCATTTAGAAATTCTACTACACCATCATGGAAAACACTTACAAGACATCTACCAAATCATGAAAATTAAAATACAGAGATCACTTTGAATTTGAAGAATATCATAATATGGAATGTTATTTGTAAACAACTTTGTGTTATGTAGGAAAATATTCAATAAGTTCAACACCTCAAAAAAGGTTTTCTCTGGTTTGATAAAATAAAATTAACACATTACTTTGCCAACAACATAAATCCAAATATTGACTTCTAAAACAACAGTGTTGTGCATTAATATACCAGTTGGAAACCTCATTGGAAGCATCCAGTAGTCTCTTATTTTATATTACAAACTTCCAGTGCACATACAAATTGAAAAAAACCTATGCAGCTTCTAGCCATGTGAGAGGTATCATACGGTTTTGTTTGATACCAATGATCTCCGGAAAAATACAAAAACAACTGTATTACTAATTTCCAATACATGCAGAAATTGTTAGAAAACTATTCAGCCAAAGGTATCTATGGTTTCATAAGATCCCAAGAACTCTGGAAAAATCCTAAAGCAATAAAAGGTTTGATGTTGATTGAAAATTGCAAATATTTGTTTGTGTTATTCCACCTATTCTCATAGTGTCCATACCGACTGAATTCTCATACTCATTGCTTCACAACACAGTTGATGTCATGCGACAGCAAGACTCCCAGGATGAAGCCACGTGCCATTAAAAATTTGCTATTCATGAGTTGCATTATAGAGCACCAACTTTATTTTTTTAATTTTTTTTTACGTAAAGAATTGTTGTACCATGTATCCATCCATATATACTGTACAATGTTATTGCAGTAACATGTTAAGTATGTTTTTGATGAAATATTTGATTTATTGTTGTGTTGCACAAATAGTTTATTTATTGTTCTTGAATTGTGCACATGCTTTTTGGAAAACAATTTAATGTGGTTTTGTTCAGCAGCATTTTTCTGCTGCTGGCTATTTGTTCACTGTTTATATTGCCATAGGCATGCACACAGGCGGGTCAGGGGTAATTTTAAAAGGGACTCCAAAGCAATATGTAATACAAAATTTATTTCTGTAAATGTATTAAATCCCAGATAAACCAGTGATGCTACAAGACCACTTACTTTCTAGCTATATTTCTTACTATTGCAAGTTTTCAAATTTCAACGAAAATGACACTTTTGTACTTTCAGGAAGATGCCCAAAAAAATCCCAAAATTATGAAATTTTCAAAACTACAGAGTTAACCTGAAAATCGGACCTTTTCCACCTTCATAAATGTATTTTACTCTATTTTTACAAGAAATTTAAAGAAAAAACTTGAAGCAGTTTCTGAGAAAATATTGAAAATGTCCCGGGGAGGTGTCATGTAAAGTACTCCTAAGTTTTTCAAAATCACAGCGTCTCAAGTCGAGCCAGATCGACCAGGGAATATCAATTTTCGAAAACATCGTATGTATGGTTTAGGCACTAGTGGTGTTCACAGATGGACAGACGTATGAACGTTTTGACCCCCAGAAAAACAGAAAACACTTTTTTGGTATCAACTTTCCCAATACTACATATATTACTCCATTTATGCGTATGTATATGGGAAAGTAAAAAAAATGGAGCCGTTTATGAGAAAGTATTTCTTTTATAATTAGCATTAACTTCAAGCATATATTACACGAAAATGACTCCCTTTTTATTTTACACGACCTTGTTTAAAGTTCTGATGTTTTACAACAGATTTCATATGAAACTGTGACCCTTCATCTCTACCTTGAAATTTGTAGTTTTGCTATGTTAACTTTTTGAAAATGAGTCAAGCACCAAAATATTTACTGTTCTTTGATTCAGATGTTGCGAAAATTTCAGGGAAATATTTTTCTTCAATTTGTAATTATTACTGTATTTTTCCTCCATGATATTTGGTGAGAAGTCCATCAATTATGCTCAGGATGGAAGCACACAATGAATTATTATGATATGAACAAAGCTTTATAAGTACTTGCATTATGATAGAAGATTGCAGGAAAGATAACATGCAATTTTCATTCTTTACAACTTCTTCTATGAGATTACTGTAACAATGCAAAAAGGGTATGTTTATCATAAAACTTGAGGCAATAAAGTACTTCTGAAAGTTTTTGATTATTCTTACCAATTAAGTTCAAAAGCAATTGGCAATTTTGTCAGCTTTCATTTCGAATATAGAAACTTCGTCCCTATGTTGCCCCATGTTCAATAAGAGAAGATACAATTTTTACTTGACAGTTGTTTGGAGTGGTAAGTATCTAAACAATTACAGTTCCTATTTAGAATTTTTGCTTGATTGTAAGTAGAAAACTATGACACTGAACTGCGAATTTAAGTTTTCCGATCATTGCATAATGTTTAAATAATGATCTTTTGTATTTTTTACATGCTGATTCAGTACCCGAAGTCAGTTTTTCTATCACATCAGGTTGTTTTGCAAAATAAAAAAGGAAAATACAAGAAATATGAGACACGTGCACAGGCAAGTACACAATTAATTTATCATAAGTGAGGAATGTGTTTTTCTTATTATTTCTTCTCATTTAAACACTACTACATTACACATTTATGAACATAACAGAAATATGTAATACATTACCTTTTACTGCATTATTTATACTTTTTGAAGAAAAACATAGTTGAAATGGACCAAATGCCTCATAATATATTGGTAATGGTAAGGCCACGGTTTCAATTTTACAATGTCTTAGGTTCGTTTAAAAAACGTCTTTGCCTTGCTATTCGCGTGAGATGTAGTTGCATATTCTCTCTTTAGTAACCAACAGTAATCTGCAAACATGTTTTTGTTCCATTACCCTTGATATTTGCATTCCAATTTTTGTAGATCATGGTGGAATCTTTCTCCTTGCTCTTTGCTCAGCATTCCTGGATGCTCCGGGAAATAGTCGAGATGTGAATGTAACATGAACTTTTAATCATTTTGCAGCCTAAATCTTGGAAAGAAACAAGTATTCTATTCACCATTTGTTAGAAGCTTGAATCCTTTCTGTTACCAATAAAGATTTTGACCACATCTCGGAACGATTTTCATGTCAATCGTTCTACAGAGAATATAACATTTTCAAAATTAGCATCAGATAGAAGTTTGCTATGATCTGAACCTGTGAAGATACCTTCTTTGATTCTGGCCAGGGTATCGATGACACAGGTACTGAAAGCATTGTTTAGTTTTAGTGAATTGCTTCATAAGCCAAAGTATTACGAACTAGTAAACAAGAGCTTTTGTGTTTACAAGCCTACAATCCACTTTCATTCTTTTTGGGTTCAGGGGTCCATCTTGCTCAATTGTCCAATTCACACAGAAAGCAGAAATACTTTGTGTAACCCATGTGTAAAACCCAACAGAATACCTATGACTTTAAAATCACCACATACCCTCCATTGTGTTTCTGGTACTTCAGTTTACACAATATAATCTCAAGATTTCCATATTTCTCACATAATAACAGAATGAGCAATAGGAATGGATGAAAATTTGTTTTCACTATGAGGATGGATGTACATCAAACTATGCTTGGAGGCATTGATCAAAAGTCTCCATTGTACAGAGGGATACTCTGGTAACCCAAGTTTCTGCATAGCCTCCGGGATGCTGTTGCAGTAACCGCAGTTCACATTCTTACCGCTGTTGCAGTAACCGCAGTGTACATTCTTATTCGCAATATATATACCAACAGTGTATCGGCCCTGGTGCTAACATGTTCTTATGCAAAATGGAGACCCAAATATTTCAGCAGATTCCTTTGAAAGTCCAAGATCTCGAACAAAATCATTTAATGCATTTTACTTGCAAAGTTTAGATCCATTTTCTAAATACTCAATTGAGAAATCAGCCATTACCAAATCACATTTAGACTCAGAGGAGGGAATCTTGTAAATTTTCTATAATTTCTTGTAAATGTAAGATTTTAAAAAAGTGACGCGATGTGGGAAATATAATGCCAGATCCTGATTCAGGGTGCAAAAGTAATCCTAAAAAGCAATACAAAATTACATCAATGAAACCGTCACAGGCCAGTGTAATTAATATTTTTTGTTGACTGACCCAATAGGCATAAAAATGGGACAAAACAAAATACGGGATATTGCTGCATCCTGTTAAAGCTCTTCGGAACAATATGACAGCACTCAGAAAAAATGGGATAATTCCATATTTTAAGACAATGTATGAAACCTAGGGTAGTGGCATAAAATAATGGTATATTTTTGCCGCAGAGACATACTATCAAGTAAAACTAATTGATTTAGTCTACTAGATCAATGCCAATAGCTGAGCAAGTAATTAAAGAAATGATTAATGACTTTCAATTTATGAAGGCTCTGTTTTCAATGGTATAAGTAGGAAAAATATTAGTTTGGGTAATAGAATGAAAATTTACAAAAAACAAATTTTTGAATATTGTTTTTAAATGACAGTATGAACACTACACTTTTTATTTGGTAACTTCTCAGAAAGAAGTGTTTAACAAAGATACCTACTACTATTTAAAACAATCTCTTTGTCATTTCTTTAAAAAAGACAAGCATTATGAAACACATGCCCTTGAACATGTCTTTACGCTAAATGCTATAATTTGTATTATTTGAAAGTCTTTTGGAAATGCCCTATTACATTAAAATGTTCAGTTATTAATACAAAATTATATGGCTTTCCTGACAGTTCTCTAAATCACTCATGATGATAAAAGCTTAATACATCTGAAAATTCAATTAAAGTTGACAAACTTTGGGGGCAATTAAATATTTATATTGATTGTTTTTAATGTTGGTTCATATATCAATAATACAAATAGATCAGCTTATCTCAATTTATGTGTAAACGATAGAATGGAAAGTGTACATTTGGGAGTGGTTTTGGTCATAAAATTCTTCCACTTTCAGTCAATACATTCAGTTATGTTGCTAGTATTACAAACACACATCAATAGTTTTCAAATCATATTTTATACAGAGGCAAGACCAAAACCTAACTATTTAAAAATGAAAAACATACATCAAAACATTTTTAAATAACGAAACAACCAAAAATGATTAGAATATTGGCAAATTACATAGGAATTTTTTTTTTTTTACTGAATGTAATGCCATGAGAAGTTCTGAAGAGTTTCAAAACTTTCAAAGGCCTAGCTGGAAATGAATGTACCTGTGAAGCTCATGTAAATTTTAGTTTCACTAATAAAAATGTGAAGAAGGCTTGAATGGAACAAGTGAAACAAATTATGGTACACGGTCTCAAAGAATAGTCACTAAAGAAGTTCATTAAATCGTCAGAAAGCAAAAGCAAGTCTTATTGATTACAGTGATAAGAAAATTGATACGATTTTACTGATGTTTGAGATTTATGTGAATACTTGCTCTTTGTTGGTCAATTAGAGAATGAGCAAAATAATCAACGCTCAAATGCATATCCAAAATTCCTCCCAATAGTATTTAAAAGAAAAATTGTTTTCTACTGAAGATTTCTTTTCATTACATCTCCAATTATTTAAAATCTCCAAACTTTAGAGTTGTATGGAAAATACATCTGCCATTCAATAGAATACTTCAATAGAATTTAAGTTCAGGAAAAAAACAACAAAAAACTGAGAAAAACTGACCTAGAGAGAAACAACTACAGAATAAAACATATTAACGCAACTTTCACACTATATATTATTAAGGTTGGCAAATAAATTTTATAAATTCCATTCTAAAGATATTTAAACCCTGAAAAACCTTATGTTCATTCTTTTGCACTGGCCTGACTTTTTACACACTAATTTAATCTAAACTATATACATCTTATTTTTAGTTTTAATGAAGTATGTTTAAAAACTGCATCAAATATACAGCAATGTATAAAATAACCATATCCTAAGGTTATAAAACACATGATATGTTCAAAATTCTAGAACACTTAACTAAAACAAATGTGTACATACTTTTTAAATATTCAGGAATTAACAAATATTTATAGTTTCGAAAACATTATTTTGGAAATATCTATTTAAAGATAATGGTAATTTTCATCATGAAAATTGTTGACTAACTCATGTTATCTAAAAACTGCATCATGATCCATAACATGATCATAAATCCCAGGTTTCAACTTTTCTGCTGCTGCCAAAACAATGAGGAAATCACTCTCCAGTAGATTCATATTCTTCATTAGGTAACGCTCCAATTGCAAGCTTCCTCCCCTGTATTCCATCCTATTCATCAAAAAGAAAATAATATTTAGACAGATAGCATTGTAACATATAGAGACCATTTTTCTTTCATTTGTCATAAGTCTCACAATATAAAATAACATTAATTCTAAGAAACATTCTATGTTTTTTAAAATAAAATGCTAGAAGCATTTCAATGACAACAAGAACTCTTATTTAATTTACAAGGCCGCTATTAGTGGTAGAGAAATCGAATAAATATCAGGTACATGAATAGGCTACAACTCTTTACTACTCACAGAAACTAAGAAGTAAATATTCCAAAATGGAGACATAGATGAAAGAGATCATAATCATTCATGTTTTTTGTGTTGAACGCATGCTGTATATCAGCAATTCCCAACCATTCTCCGCTTTCAAACCCTTTCTAAAAACTGGCAAACACTTGTGCAAGTTTTAATAGCAATAAAGAAAAGAATAAAATTTGTTTGTTGTAATTTATTTTATGGAACACTAAACATCTACAGACACTACATCATAAAACATCTACAGACACACATTCATAAAATTTAATTGATAGCTAAGCATAACCTACAAACAAATAATACCAAATTAATTCCGCAAAAGTTAAAAACAAAACAATTTTCGTTAATGTCAATGTTAAAGCCACCAGGTTCTTGACTAAGCTGCCAAATATCCTCACTGAGATAACTGGACTGGTTTGGAAAAATAACAAATTAAAAGTATGTTTTTCTGTCAGGTTTGAGCCTTAGATCAGGTTCTGCATTCTTTGGGTTTGTATGTTTTATCTTTCAGGGAAGGGTATATGTACAGTTGAAGAATTTCCTCCACGAAAATATAATTTGTGTGTACTCCTTTAGTCAATTTTGCACATGTCTGGTTGGAAATTGCGGCTATAAGGAACTTGATAAATCAAATCTCTATTATATAATCAAGCTTTTAACACAATATGAAAAACGTTCATAACAGAATGGCATAAATGAGCATTGGAAACAAACACATAGGATGCATGACATCCATTATTTGAACATATTATTACCCTACAAGAACAAAAACGCCAAGAAATGGTGCGGTATAGGCCCTTAAAATCCAGTTTCCAGGCACTATGTTTTTTAAGCCACATTCCACAAAATGAGACCATTGGAACCTTCCATTACATTTGGGAGGGTTGGCTCTCCTCAGTACTCTATAGTTATTCAGAATTTCAGTTTCATCTGTAAGGGAGTAATTGTACTGAATATCAGTACAAGTGTTGGGTAAGAGCTTTGAAATAAAACCTCCAAATTACTTCCTGAATTTCCAGTTCAATAAGAGCAATACACAGGAAAATGTGCAGGGTATTTGCAGAGGGAATTATATGGGGGACAGGAGAGACCAAGAGTTATTTCTTAAGAACTTTTCTTTTTTTTAATTATTTTACAAAATGAGATCTTTCTGAATCTTATTACATTTTTGGAGGTACAGCTCTTCTTGGTAACCCAACACATGTGGTCAGAAGTGAGCAGAATCTCAAAATCAATGTAAAATTATATGTACTACGATATTGTAATTTAATTATAAAGATCTAACAATAAGGTGTTCTTAATAAATGCTTAGCATTATTACGTTCACTCCCAGACAGTGAATGAACAGTGGTGGAACATGTACGTAATGTACACATGAATCAAACTAGAAGGTCTGCCATTTGAACACAACAAAATATGTATTTGATAAAAGTAATTGTTGGACTGAAATAAAATATTAAAAAGAATTTTAATAATGAAACAATTATTAAGCTCCAACTCCAAATTATTTTTTTATTTATAACAGAGATATTTTAAGGAGCAAACTAACAGAAGGAAAGCCCTCTTACTTGCATCTTAGGAGCCTACACAAAACAAAACACTGTTTCTGTGTGTGTGTGTTTTTGTGGAAATGTACTTTTAGGTTCTTTCGTTGAAAGTTTTTGAATTTTATGAAGCAATAGTCTGTATGTAAATCCAGTATTGCATTTGTATATTGACAACTTTGCAAAACAATAGAGATTCACCACAAATATTGAAGTATATAGTTACTTTCACTCTAATAATAGTAAGGGCATAATGAATGATTCCTTCTTTGACAGTATAACAAATAAAGTTGTATTAATAACGGGGACACATGTGAGGGTTCAAATATGACTATGTTCCACTGAGTACGTTTAGATACCTATAATATTGATCATCCAACATGCTATAAACCATGAGGAAAGCACTTATCCTGAAATGCTCACCAAGTCAGTTGACACACATGGGGTCGAAGTAAATTACGAAAGTTGATTCATCAGAATGAAAAGCCAGATTACTCAAACAGAAGAGTAACTAAATATATGTTCTTCATTTAAATGTATGCATGTAATATGTAGGGCAAGTGTGTGTGTGTTCGTGTTATGTGTGAACGTGAGAGTGAGCATTCATGTATAGGAATGTGTGTGTATGTATGTATGCATGTGTGTATAGATGTGCCATAGATATATTCAGGTCTGTGTATGTTTATATATTGAGTGTACATGCTCGAAAGAAGTGTATTGTAAATTGTTTTTGAATTATAAATGTTCATATATTGTAAAACTGTAGGGTTGTGGCTACCATCTGGCAATCAGCCAATTGTAGCCAAATAAATATTATTATTATTATTATTTATTATTTATTATTTATTATTTATTATTTATTATTTATTATTTATTATTTATTATTTATTATTTATCATCATCATCATCATCATCATCATCATCATAAGAGGCAAAACTTTTCCCTGGCCAATATAAGCTGCTCATTTTCTTCACATTTCATTTCTTCATTAATTTATTAATTATTCATTCATTCATTAAAATAATTCATTAATCACATTCTTCACATACATAAAATCTTAGTGGATTTGTGGAATCAATTTAAGAAAATTATTTCATCTCATCATTTTATCTTGGACTATAAAAATTAATGCATGTCTGAACATTCTGCAAAAACTTTTAACAGATAAGCTAATTTTCATGCATTTTGCTGTACTAATATACCTTATGTTGGAACAGTTCAACATAATAATTTTGTTTCCAAAATTCCATCATAAAAGATTTTCCTATCACAAAATTTTCTAAAGCAATCTGCAATGTATTTATGTATTGCAATGCAGCGGTGCAGGCTAGATGGGTAAGCGGGGTATGGTCAGGGCCTGTTTGGGCAAGGTAGGGTAGAATGGTGAGGGACACGGCAGTGATGAACCCTGAGAGCTGTCGGTTTTCTTCCAACTCATTTATTCTCTCATTTGCTTACAATTTTCAGCTTGCATCAATTTGTGCCATTTAGTACTATTTTATTGCCCAGTAGTTCCACTTTATCAATGGACAATTTGAATATCTTTAGATTTAGATTTCCCTTTTCTTTTTGATCGCGACTATTTTCTGTATTTTCCTGACCCTCTTTCCAGCAGCCATCTGTCGAAGCCTAAGGAACTAACCAGTGACTCTTGTGGACACTACCGCTTCCCAGGGAACTCTTCCCAAAATGGGGCCTTTTCATACTCCCTAAACAACACACCAGGGTAGCCATTAAGTCCTTTATTTTCCTCATTCCTCATCCGTTATTTGTGGGCCCGTCTCAGTATTTGAACAATGATTGTGGGTATAGGGAATGAGTTCGTTACTCACATACATTGATGGCCTGCACACTTACTGGCAAAGGCATTGCAGTAGGTTTAGGATGTATGTAGGCAATACATGATAAACTGGAAACTTACTCCATGCCACAAATACAACTGAAGGATCAGGGAGGACAGCTGATCCAGATGTAAACTCCTCCACTACCGGGGCCAGCCACAAATGGCAGTATATGACTAGGAAAAGTGATGCAAGAAGAGGGGGTAAGCCAATTGTGCTACAACACAAGGGTCAAAGTGCCCATACTTAAGCAGGGACTGAAACCTGCAGCCGCACATACAGTGTTGAGTTCTACTACTAACATTGCAATCACAGTCATTTGTGTCTGCTGCACAATAGAATATAAGAACTCACAAATAACTACTTAGGTGACAGAAATGTCACAATTTTACTTCATCACTGACTCACAGAAATTACCACTCAGATCTTTGACATTTTAGACTTTCTAGCAGGTAGGTACGTATTACAAAGAAAATGTTACAAACTCACTTTTATATTCATTATTGTAGCAGCACTTCAAGAGCCTAAAGATATAAACCAAAAGATTTAGTTCTATTGCTAACATTATCAGTTTATTATACTTACACAGATTGATGCATGAAACTAAGCAACATATATGCCAAGGAATTAATTTTCTTTTTGAAGATGCCAATGAAATGTTGCCAGGAGCTAGGAGGTATATGCTGCATGTCTTTGAGCAATGATTTTATAAGACTGGCACTCTCCTTTACAGGATACAGAATACTTCTGAAACCACATCACATATTTTAAATATAAATTACATAAAGTATTGTTATGAATTTCTGTAATCTTTTTACGAGTATACTACTTTCAAACGTGGGTCAAACTATTATATAGAACTTACACAGTTACAAAACTTCACAAGAATTCGGATTATCTTTACCTATGTAATTGAGTCTTTCCAAAACCATCCCCAGATCTATTTAAATTTTGGGGAGATGTTTGGCGTACAGCATTTGCATTAACACCTTTTGTTAAATCAACAGCAGTTACCAGATATGGACTAGCTGCAAGGTCAACTGAACATAACTCTCGACAACCAAATTCATCTAATAAGAGACCCTGAAATTATTAAAATAAATTAGTATTCAAAAATATGTAAAAGTTTCAAGTGACTGAATAATGAACAAACAAACATACCTGAACAAATAAACCCACATGATATGAATATTTCATAGTTGGAAGAACAAGACGTGAGCAGAATTTTTCATCTGAGTCCAGGAACAGTGCCAGAAACGATATTAACTAGTAAAAAAGTCTAAGTCAATTACATAAGTTTCAACATTGTTATTTTAATCAAAAATTACTATTTTGCAAAGTTATGGAAAATTCAAGTACTACAGAATCAAAGTTAAATGGCAATAGAATGTTATTTCAAGGAAAAAATTAGAACTCGTGTTTGGACAAAAAACAACAAAAAACATTGAATTTTTTGTGAAGTGATATGATTATTCTAATACAAACAAACAATTCTAGAAATACTGACTATAAAAATTCTTTGAAAGTAGCAACACAGAGCAATGTAGAATACAGTAAGGCTTCAAGCCTTTTTAAGTATAACCCAAGTACTTGGTGTAATGTGAAATTAAGGCAATTGAAAGTGTACAAATTTGTATCACAAATTGAAAATATTTTCAGAATATATTTTATATAATGACTGTCAGTGTTGGTTAGAATTTCATTTTCTAATTCAACATGCAAAAAAAAGCAAGCAAAGGCACATATATATTTTTTAGAACCAAAACCAAAACCAAAACTTACATTCTAAGGAAATTGATAGGAAAACATACATTGAAGAATGTAATTACAATGTTCCCAATCATTAAAATGCTTAGTTTTCTCCTAGTAGTTCAAAAGAATAAAATCAATGAAATGATAAAGCAACAAGATAAATTCTATTTTTTAAATTAACTACAAACATAATCGTGAATTTACATTTCAATTTATTTGTATAATTTATGGACTCATTACATTCTACAATAGACTTAATATAATAGCAATTTTTATTCAAAACGTCTCGAATTTTACTTTTCAACTTCTCAATTACGGTCAAAACCTCTATAGATAGATACAAATATTGTAGCAAATTAACAGCACAAGTGTCTCCATAAACATTGACAACTGATTATACCTTTACCCAGTGAAATCTCAACACGAAAATGCTTTTCTCCTCCTTAACTACATGTATTTTGAGTAGACCAACATAATGATTATAATGGAATGTTCACATTTATTAAACAAAATCCAATATATAACATTAAATCTAATGCAGTCAAATTTCATTAAAACAAGGAAGAACATTGCCTAACTTTCTACATCAGTTAAGAAATTAAGTTCTCTTGTGCATGTCATATTTTTCGGAGCATGGTATTCTGAACTGATTTTTGGATGATGTTTCAGATACATAACAAAGATAGGAAATGGATAATTTGAAGGTAAACCAAGTTTCTGAGATCTCAAGAGATCCTTATTATTTATATAATACTTTCAACAATTACTGTTTCCTTTTAATAAAAAAGTTCTAACAAAAGGGAATGGTTTTCTAAAACTACTACTCTGTATCCAGGTAGGTATGTGAATAGGACCAAAAACACAACTAAAAAGTAAAACAGAGAAGCACAATTTTTTAAATTACAAGTAACATGCTCAATAGTACTTTTAAACCATGCAGCAGTTCTGGAGACATGTCACCAAATCACTCACAGCATTTATATCAGATGATGATGTCCCCATAATAACAGTACAGCCAAATGTTTGAAGATGAGAGGTTAAGGCACGTTCAAGAAGTGGATGATTCAACATATCTGCACCACAAGCTAGGAGCGAATTTCCTAAGCCACACTTTCCAAGGGAAAAAATTGTATGCCAAAATTCCAGCACCCAGTTATTGAGTCTTGTCACTGAGATACTGGTAAAGCCTGTACTGGTGGACATGCACTACAAATGGAAACAAAAGCAAGTGAGGAATTATAAACCTATTTTTTCAAACACACACTTATCCACATAGTACACACCAAAAATATCAAGCAACATTGATATGTGAACTTAAAGTTTACACATGTACCTTAACAAGAGGTTCATGCAGTCTTTCTGCCATTCTCCGCAGCCACTGATGGCATAATCGGCGTAAATGTAGAAAATATTCATAATGTTGATATCCAACCAACACTGATAAAGAAAAGGGCACTGTGGTGTCCAAGGATCGTGCATGAAAAACTAATGACTGAGCAACAAGTTCAAGATCAGGTACGACAAACAAATTACTCTCTTGTTCATACAGCAAGGACGCAGAAGAATTTAAACAAATACCAGTGTAATTTACAGTATGGCTAGTAACATATTTCACAGCTTTCATTATATATACATTCTGTTCTACTAATTTATGATTAGATGTAACATGAACACCACTCTTACTTTCAGGTAATGTATCTACATATGAAGAAGACGGGCTATTCACCTCAGTATTCAACAAACCTCTAGCCACTGGATTTTCTTCAAGCCAAGCATGAACTGTTTGCGGGCCCATAATGTCATCCCACCGAGAAAGTATAACAGCAAATATAATATTTCCATCTACTGTTGGAAGTATATGTGAACATGATGTATTAACAATAGAGTTTGAACCCACACCAAGATCTTTACTGGTAGGAAGTACAATATTGATATCTTCTCTGTTGTTTGGTTCATAAGTACTGTAGTGTTTTGAAGTACTGGGTTCCAATGCACTGACTCTAATTAAATGTCGAACTTCATCTTTCACTATACTAGCCACATTTGCACTCATTGCAACAGATCGAACCATAACCGTCTCTCTCTGTACAGAATTAGTATCATCTGAAGAATCAGCACAAGATTGTCCAGTCTTCCAAAGTGATCCTTCTCTATCAACAGCAACAAAATGATACATACTAGATGGGTCTAAATTGGGATCCATTATAGCAACCATATTGACAAGTATCACAGTATCTATTAGTAAACTTGTGTGCAAGTATACACATTAACACATGTTGTATCACATTATTACACGATTGTGTACAGATATCTTTCAACAAAAGACTTTTCTATATATCAAATTCGAAGGGTTGTAATTTCCATGCTAAAGACACTTTTGTGTCTCACACTTTCAATGAAATGGCAAAAACTTGTTAATTCCCAAACTAATACCCAGTTTGCTAATAAATCAAGAAATGCAACAAACCAGAAGTCATTTTCCATTAGATCTGGAACTGCTAGAAATATAACCCCTAAACCACATGTTGTGATAATTAATGCTATGTAGAGTCCTGTCATTCCAAGAAGTATCATGTTTCAAAACTTTCAATAACAAAACTAGAGTATTCGGATCGAGAGCCCCTTGAATCTCCGTGGGCTCCTCGATTCTTATTCACATTTTAAAATTAACAGATATGACAGCCAAGACCAAAAGGGCTAGTCTTAAAATATTTAGCCATCAAAATTGATCCCTAAGAATTTGATATCTTTTAAGTTGTCACTTTCAGAGTAAATCACAATTGACGCGCAAAAAACAAAAAATTAATTATAATTTACGAGGGAAAATATCAATCTTGTACATCCACGTAATAGAATATAAAATGGCAAGTCCCATCACTTTATCTAAAACTTATTCAGGAAAGAGCTATACGAGTTTACAACACATCAATAATATTGACAGATAAAGTTCGTCCTTGTTTTGTCAACAAATTTCGTGATAACCAAAAAAAAGGTCATCACATTACACTAGTTCTGGCACATCGCATCAGTCTTCAGGTTACTATGAAATTAGTACAATTACGTATCTTCAAGCGCTACAGCAAGGACAATACACCATCACACAGCAAGCACACGCCTAGCAATTGCCATATCATTTGATATCATAGTCCATCATATTTTTGGTTTGGCAAACTAGATTACGACGATACACTAGACTCGCTCGCCTAGGTTCACATTTTCGCGCATCTTGCAACACCAAATTGTACGACACATGTGTGACCTACTGCGAGTGTAACAATCGTGTTCCTGATCGTGTTCGATTGCTGTACAGTGTACACCTACAGCAATGCCATGCATCGAATAGTTTTGCCATGCTTTCTGAATACTTCTCGTCTCGACAGATATGAACACAAATGTCAGAACTCATGAGCTCAAGATATGCTCTGCACGAAGTAGAATTATCTCACGAGTAGAAAAAATGCCGCAGCATGTCTCACTTCCGAAATTAATAATAATCACGGATTTCTTCTTCAAAAATGCCTTGATACTAACACTTCTTACAGATCATGTACGGTACTTATTTACAGAAAACCGAGACAACTTCTTTTCCATTAATACTTATCGCAAGGATTTGCTCTAATCAGCTAGTTGTTCAAATACAAATATCCCTCAGTTTACGAAATGTCACAATCTAAACAATTGCATGATATCATTTGCTTCTAGACAAATGACTTTATTACCTCAGGGAAAATAAAAATTACATTTATGCAAAAAAGTATACAGGTCCTCATTACAATTTTGTTTTTGTTTCGAGGAAACATCTACGCTGGTTAAAGGGCCAAGTCAGTCACATGGTTTTAACAAAGTACCGTAGTAAATTGCTTCTTGTTATATATTACGATAGTTTACCAATTTGTGATCCTTAGCTGTAAAGGGACCGCCTGATGGTCTTTGGAATTGTGTTCGGGTACGTACTGAACAAGAAAGAAATGTTCTATTTTGGGTTATTTGTCTGGAGTGAATAAATGGATAAGCAGACTAAGCAATGTTTAGGACCCCAGTGGATAGGGGCCCAAAATGACGTTGAAACATTTTTTAAGTGAATGTAAAAATATTTTAACATTGAATGTTAAAAAATTGAAAAGATTTTAGTTTATTTCCGTAATATTAAGTATAATTTTGATACACGTGTTCCATATTTCAATATCAATAGTGAGCTAGTTGCATATTTTGAGGGAAAGCAAAACGAAGATTACAGAACAGCGGCGGACCCAGAGGGGCGCGGAGCCATACCCCCTGGTTCCTTTATTATTTCTTGTAAAACTTTAAAACTTACTTAAAACAAATAATTTACAAGCACAATTCTGTGATTAAAATGTAGTGCATTGCGACTTTAATTAAAAGCGTAATGAAAGTAAACAACGTGGACTCTGAAATTCGGTATCCATGGTTGTTCGTCACACGTTTGATAACTTCGCGCGCATGCATATACTCATCTGATTTTCAATATGATTTGTATCAATTATTGCAACATATTTTAATGACTATTTATTTATTTACTTACTTATTTATTTATACTTCAAAAACCGTTAAAAACTGTGGCGTACCATGGAGGAAGTGTGCTTAAATTCTGGAATCTCCCTAACCCATATACTATAAGTTGAAGTATGAATACAGGTGGAAACGAGCGTTTTTGGTGGGAATTGATAAGAAAATACTAAGTCTCAAGTTATAAAAACTATTTACAAAGGCAAATCAGCTACAAGAAAAAGTTAACCCAGAAATTAAAAAAAATCAATCGAATGGTACAAATTGGGTGATTTTTTTATATTTCTGCATTAATTTTCTCTGTGAATAAATATATTCATTTCTTTTATAATTAATAAACAATTTACTTATTTCTGGAGTGTTTATATGCTTCTGCAATCCTAATTTTTGCATAGAAAATATTTTTTCAAACAAACTTTTGAATGCTTATTGCGGCTTAGCCATTCGGAATATCCATGGAGTGTATTAGACAAAATATGCTTAAAATGTATTAAGAGCTTATTTTCAAATTTCGTCGTTTCCTCCCTTGTCATTCTGTATATTTACAGCTGCTATGCGCCATCAAACGCTACGTTTGACGAGTTAGAGCAATTCCTGGACCGTCTAGATCTTGACGCCAGAGGTCGCAGTCCCCTCGTGATAGCTGAGGACTTACACTCGTGTGTCGTGGAGTGAGGTAGCTCGTCGTGTGCTGTGCTAGAATCATTCGCTCTCTTAAATGTAGCTCTCGTTAACACCATAGATACACACATCTGCCCCAGAAGTGGTAGGATCTGTGGTGGACGCAAAGTTTATGACAGATAGCTTGTTGAGAATTGAATTATCCTAGAAAGTCAGTGAACACAACACATACTGCGATCAGCAGGCTATTCTATACAAGGTGCATTATCAAAGAAAGAAGAGTACCTTTCGACCTATTTGTAAGATGAGAGGATGGAAAGCCAAAGCGTTCTTGAAGACAGGAATCCTGGAAAGTAAACGTCTTTGCGCCAAAATCTTGTACGATAAAGTGGACAAAGATGTATGGGATAGGCCATACAAGATGGTCTTGGGCTAGTTTATGAAGTTGCATACCCAGTCTCCAACCTGTCCTAAAGTTCTTCTAAGAATTGTGACGTCTTTATTCCCATATCACTCCTACGAACTGACGAAAACCATGCCCCTTGACATAGAAATGATACTATCAGTCACTAAGGATGATCACACGTAATCAGCAGAATTGATAATAGCAAGACTCCAGGGCCGGATAGTATCCTCAACATCGCCCTCAAGCCTTCGACATCTACTCGTCGTGAATTCTTCGTGGATCTCTACGATTCATGTCTGAGAGATGAGATATTTCCTGAGAGATGGATGAAACAACAACTAGTACTTCCGAAGGGAAAAGAACCCCCTGAGGAGTCCGACCGACCGCTGTGCGTGCTCGATACTGATTTCGAGCATATCATTAGCTCCACATTGGAAGATGCAGTAGAAAAAGGAGAATTCTCATAGAACCAGTACGGCTTTCGCAAGGCTCGCTCAACTGTCGGCGCTGTTAAGCTTGCCGTTGACACTGCTCGACTGGCCATTAGTGGGAGTAGATGGAAAAGAGGCTCCGAAAGGTACTGTACAGTAGTAACTTTGGACATTAAGAATGCTTTAACTCAGCAAGATGGAGTGATATTCATAAAGCGCTGCAGCAAATTAATGTGCCCGCGTACTTGAAGATATTGGCTGAATATCTCAGTCGTAGAATCCTAGTGTACAATACGGATGATGGATCGAAGGTACACAACATCGCCGCCGGGATCTCGCAAGGTTCGGTGATGGGTCCACTGCTGTGGAATTTCATGTACGATAAGGTTCTTATGCTCGCAATTCCAGAAGGGACCAAGATCCTAGACTTCGCAGACGACATTGCCATCGTCAACGCAAAATTTATACGAGATAAAATGTACCCGCAATTATCTCATTGTCAAGCGATAAAATACCTTGGCATCATGATTGACTGGATCTTGGACTATGCCAGCAAAAACGCAACAGTGGTGAATGCTGCGATAACTAGGTTAATACCAAACACTGGAGGATCTGGTCATGAAAAGAGAAATCTGCTTGCTTCGGTCGTTACATCGGTTCTGCTCTACGGATCAGCAGTTTGGGCCACTTCTACAGATACGAAGAGCTACAGAAGAGGAATGGCGTCAATACATCGACTGTCTGCGCTCAGGGTTGCAAGTGCGTTCCACATTGTCTCAAATGAAGGAGTTTGTGTCATAGCCGGGATGATTCCAACAGATATATCGCCCAGTGAACAGAGAGGCGTTGTGAAAAAAAGGGATGCAAAACCGCTTGGAACGTCTAGCAGAATGGCAGCAGCGATGGGACACTTCATCTAAGAGAAGGTGGACCGACCGACGGATTCCTACAATGGAATTGTGGATCAGTCGAAAGCATGGGGGGGTGAATTCTTACCTTACACAGCTTTTGACGGGACAGTGTTGCTTCAGACCCTACATTCACATGTTCAAACTCCGCGTTGTCCTGCGTGCGACCCTGCTGTCGAGGACATCGAACATGTGTTTTTTAGTGCTCACCATTCAAACTTCAACGACGAGTCATCGTTTAGGTGATTGGGGTAGGGCAGATGAATTGAGAAAACCTAGTTGCTTATATGCTTGGTTCTGAAAGCAGTTGAAAGGCGGAATGTAAATTTACACAAAAAGTATTACTTGAATTGTGACGCATGGAAAAAGACAAGTGAAAAATCATGAGTTTACTCGTCTAACTCCATGATATATTAAATACGTCATGTGACTGAAACACTATTCCACTCTCCGCGATGTAATGCCTATAGGTGGTTTCTCAGAGAGAATGGAGGAGAAGAGAAGTTCGGTTTTAGTGAGTAAAAGACTCACTCGTCTGATAGTACTGGCAGCCCAGTGTCTTTTGAAGATATCCACTTACCCTTGTAAAAACACACGCACACCAATTGTAACAGTTGGGTACGTTCTTGTTTTCATACATGTAACCTGAAAAGGGATCTAATAATTGGGGTCGAAACGTTGTAATGTAATTAAATGTTTGTGAGATAATTTAATTGGATTTATCAGCATTTGAATTATCTTATTTAGTGCAACACACCATAAACATCAGGGATTCAATATTCTAAACAGTTCCTTTGCATATTCAGTTTCATGCACTGGAAAAACCTTTGATGTCATCTACAGTACTAACTTCAGGGAACTCCAGAGACGTGGGAGCTTGAGTGCAGGATTATTTATGCCATAGTTGTGCGAGCCAAAATATGACCTTTTGCATCCCTTGCATTGACATGCCTCATAATTACTTTGATATATACAATAATAATACAGTCGACTCCGTTTGTAGTGAACCCTCGGTTATAGTGAACTTAAGTCATTGGCCTCGTTTTATTTACATTACAAATAAGCATAAGAAGATTCGGTTATAGTGAACCTGAACCTCGGCTATAGTGAACGTAGGAAATATAACGTTCTAGAAACTAATTCCGTCCTAAAAAATGTCGCCTCAGTGTCACAAATATCAACACGAGACAGCTTGGAAAAAAGATTGCCGCCCAAAGTTCATAATCGAAGAAGTCTTCCCTGAGTTGAAGGTAGTGGACCTGGAATGGAGACCTTACTGACGACCTTTTGCCACTCAGTTTCACTGCGGAAACCAAGGACACCGGTGTCCTGCGTGGGCTGCAATTGGCGACGGCGTTACGCGGTTGCTTGCATATTCACATACTGCGATTTATCCAACTCTGCCCCTGGCAGGTATCCGCTATCGACAGTTTCATCCAATCGGGAGTATTGGCGACAGCCAAGCGCGCGACTGCCACAGCGCCACAGCCGAAAAGCAATCAGTTACATTAGCCGCTTGCGCGATCCCACTTCCAAAATGATCTCGTATGTTATTAAGTTAGTAAAAGGAGAGTGTTCGGAGAGTGGGTCGGTGTTC